AACCCGAGTCCCGAGTCCCGAATTTCGGAGTTCGGGGTTCGGTGACCCGGAGCTCGGCAACTGTGTTGGGTGTCAGGGTATCCTGAACATTGGAGATCACATGTGTCAGCCAAACATGAACCATGAAATGCAAAATACTGACACATGCTATCTCCAATGCTCCGCATACCCTGACACCCAACACAGTTGCCGAGCTCCGGGTCGCCGAACCCCGAACTCCGAAATTCGGGACTCGGGACCTGGGCTTCCGGGACTCGGGTGCAAGATTTTTGAATGCATAGAATATTTTACATCTTGTATACAATGAACACTGAATGGGACTACACTCCTTTGCCTTTCCTCAATTTCTCTAACATGTCAGTGTACATCTTCACCTCTGCCATCTTGGCTTTGATGCCCTCATCTTGCTCCTCCATCAATGCTTCCATGCGTTCTTTAATCCACCTCAGTCCCATAAGTGGTGGAGTCGAAGTGTTTCTCAACTTCTCTGGAAGAACCAAAGCATCATCCTCAACATTAAGCTAGAACAGATAAGTTATCAATCAAGGCAATTCAGCTAACATCTTACCGCCCAATACTGGTAGTGAGAGACGCAGGAAGCCATTATTTCATCCCACTGCCATGGTTGATCCGGGATTGTGGTGTTTCCCATCCACCATGGACATGTATATGCAAACACAATCCGGGACGGATGTCCTGCAATTGCCTCATCATCAAATGAAAGGAGGTGGAATGAAAAGATGTCGTCCGGAACCGTGTTCCAGGTTAGCATGGGATACAACTTAAGGATATAAGCGACAGGGACTGGAAGAACCGACACAATATTCTGTGAAGCTGAGTACTGCAGGAGTGGTGTGACAAAAGTCTGCTCAAATTTTTAGCATTGACCAACAAAGTCATCAGGGCAGTGGTAACATACATTCATCTCCCATTGCAGCCCGGCTTTAAAATACTTTATCCGGTCAGAAGATAGACCATTGTTGGCAGCTTCCGTCTGATATTGAGAGATGCATGCACGGACCCGCGATCCAGCCATTGCCAATGTGCAGGAAATAGTTCCAAGGCTCAGCTTCAGGGGTCGGTAATGGCTTCCGGCATTCAGAGTGCCAGAAGTGGATGCAGGAGTTGCAGGCATGGCTAATACAGGACTATGGCGCTGGCAATGCAAGTGAAAGATGGTGAAGATGTGAAGATAAGAATCACTGATGGATGAATACGAAATTCAAACTCCGACATGGGCTGACCCGGACAATTCCCGGGCCTCAATTATGTATGTGGAAAAAGGGACTTCATGAGAAAACAATGTTCATTCATCTCCAGCCTCTATCAACACGTTTTGTAGGTCTTGAAAAGCTGCCTGCGCATCCTGTGCAAGCAATGAATACATTCGCGATTGCCTTCCGGCATAGCATCCATGACCCGGAAGGCGTTTCTCCAATGATTCCTGCATGTGGTCGCCCCATTGGGTTGCTTTCCACAAAAAGAACTTACATGTCCAATCCATCTCCAATTTGACCAATATCATTTCTTCCCTCCATCGATCTTGTAGTGCCTTTGCCCGCAGCCAATGGACTCGGTAAACTTGGCATGGGTCCAGTCAGGTAACCGTGGGATATGACATGCAAGCAGGAACTCACATTCCTCATTCCACGATTGATCAGGACCCCCGAGGTCGACTTCAACAGACCAAAACCAAGCCAAAGATTCATTTCGTTGACCTCGGGCATTTGGGTCACCCACTGCAGTGCTGATTTTGAGTTGCTCGCGAAGCAGGGGTTTGTATTTCTGAAGCTCGTCTTGCCCCGGCTCAAGTTTCATCATTTGCTTCCTGGTCTTTGTATATATGCTGGCATGGAGGGAGACTGCCTGCTGCACCGACGTCACCTGGGACCAAGCTCGAGTTTTCAGGGCCTGGGATTTGGCCTGCCTAATGGTTGTTCGGAACAGGATGGCCTTGTTGCAAAGGTAAATGCGGAGATTGTGAAGGGCATCATTGGCCTGCCCTTCACGAAGAGACATCTCCAGGGGAATCAGATCCTCTGCCATGCATCGTCTGCATCTATCAACCCCCAGGTTTGATGGCAACGGGATTACAGTGAGCTCGGGAGAGTTTGTCCATGTATGAGATGTCTCCGTGAAATCCGCCGGGTCATCATCGAGATCATCTAGAATGTCTACGTTCAAGTCCTCAGGTTCATCATCTGCATCAAATCCCTCCCCGAGATGTGTTAGAGCAGACCGAGCAAATCCATCTATCTGGCCTTGGAGCCGATCGCGTTGACGGGCAATGTCTAATCTCTGTGTCTCAGTGGATCTTCTTCCGATCCTTCGGACCTCGATGAGCAATGCAATCTGAGCCTCTTCAATTGCTAACCCTGTTGATATCCACGTCGCCACAGATCTGCGAGAGGGTGCTGCATTGCGGGCGTTACCCTCCTCTAATAATCTAAGCTCGATCTCCTTTTTGCTTGGTGCTGAGTGCAATATTAATTCAGACCTCGATGGAGACAATGGAACTCAATGTACCCTTTTTTATATTGATCTCATATTCATCCATCGCCGCAGGATCATTCAATCTGCTTGACTGAGCTATCCTCTCCCTGGCTAACCATTCTGTCTTCAAATGTGAGGGTGCTGCTTCATCGAGTCTGTCGAATGCCTTTCCACTTTCCGAGATGCCATTCCTCGCCAGCTTGTATTTCCGGCATAGAGTCCTTTTCATGCGAATCATCTTGCAGAAATTGGAGTCATTCATCTGATAATCAAGGCATTCCTTTCGGTGCGGAGATGACATTCCCCGAGCAGCAGGGGAAATCAGATTGAGCCGTGCCCATAGCGTCTCCATGATCTCTCCATCGATCCGACCAATGCCTTCAATAAAGTTAGAAGCATATCGGACATAGCAGCTGTCCTGATGGCCATGAATGTGCCACAACCCAATTCCGGGAATGATGGTTAGTTGTGGTGCCATGTCTAGAAATTGACTTCGATCCACCCGAACCCGAAAGTGTTTGTTGTATTGACAATTAATATCATAGAAGGTGACAGCCCTGGTGATGCCTTCCATGTTGTGCCGGGAAGCCTCGCAAAGGGCGTAGTCCATGTTCATTTGTCTGCAAGTGACCCATGGTTAACTCGTGAATGAGGAATGGTGGATGTGGCTTGCCTTTCGCCTTTCTGAAAATCCACCATGGAGTGAGGGACAAAGCAACCGTGTCTGGCACAGGCAACTCCCCCGATACCGGTGGACTCCAGCTTGTGCCGAGCAGCATTAGCTTGATTTACTGCCCGGTGGTTGTTGCAGCTTGATTTTTTCACCGTGTCAGCAGCCTCTGCCAGATGCATTTTATACCGGTCCTTTCCTACCATGAATCCAAGCCCATCGGATAGCCAAACTTCATCGAATGGCTTAATGGGATGCAGATGTTCGGCTTTGAAATTTCCGTCCATCACAAATGACCGGGTGTATTTCCAGCTTGGATCGCTAGTATTATTATGGAGGCCACATTGGTTGAGAATAGGACTCACTCATCAAGCGATTCATCCTCTGACAACAGCACATTAATCCCTGGCTGAGGACACGCCAGGCAAAATAATGCGAGTTCTCCTGTGCTCGGGTTATCAGAACGATGGCCAAAGCCATGCCATTTCATTGTCTTCAACTGCCTCCACTGTCGAGCGACCCTCATGAGCTCTCTGTATCGGTCCTTGCAATGTGCTTTGTCAATATGATGTCCAGTAGATGAAGAGGGTAAGGCATTACCGGAACAAGGTGTGGAAACATGCTGGAGGTCATTCGCCGGAGCTTGCTGTAATAGTTCATCGCCGAGGTGCCGCATTCAAGGCTGTCCAGTAGAAAATCATTGAGCACTCTGAAGGTGAACACAGTCTTTGGCCTGTTGAAAGATGCAGGGAAAAATCTGTGTCGAAACATTTGAATGTCCGGACTCATGGCATTCGGACATTCACAACATCGAATCTCCAGGCGATGAACTCCGGACTTGTCTACAATGACCATGGTGTTTTCCTTTGGCTGGAACTCGGGTCCGGACACAAATGGCAGATCTTCAGGCTCGAGCAGGTCTTCAGGTTCATCTTCTTCAAACAAATTCCACTGATCAGTGACCTCCGGACATTGTTTGCCATCATGGCCAAGGTGTATAATGAGTCCCACATGAGCGAGACAACTCCGCTCAAAGAATCGCCCATTCCATTGACTGATCCAGTGGAAAGGATTGCTACGATGTTGACTCCTGCAACAGCCCGTGCAATAGAGTGGCTCGCCAAGACAATCTTGACATTTGTACACCCCATCCTGTTCGCAGATGATGCATCTCCTGTCTTCTGGTGGAGCTTCTCGATCAAGGAGGTGATGTAGATATGATTCCTGCCTTGGCAGCCATTGCCTGAGGTAGTCATTTTGACTCTGTATTTTTGAATGCTTAGCCATAGTTTGAATGACACTCCAACATTGTACATGAACTTGCCATGGTTTTTGGGAGTTGCAAAGGCTCAAAGGAGCCTTGGTCCTGCTCATAAGTATTGTCAGGAAAGTCTTCCCAAGGAGGTGGTGCCTCAACAGGCTGAATTGTTGGTGATTCTGGGGGAGAGTTAGGCATGGACCTGTAGGCATGTCGCCTCGTGCTTGCAAGTGGGACCTTGACCCAAGTCTTCCTACCTTTGCTGCCCCTTGCTTCCACCCTGTGAGATTTTTGCACTGGGGTGCATCTACCTATCTTCATCTTGTTTACTAATGTTGCAAGCAAGGCATCAGCTCAGGTGTAATGAATTGTTATTGCAATATGATGCTGTGCAGTCCTGTTGGCTCATTACAAATTCATTTCCATTAATGGATTCTTGTCAAATATGGGCCGATTAACAGATTATTAGGCTTTGCTCGAAGTTCAACTTCGCACAATTCATTAATACTTCTACCTTGCAAATCCTCAGCCCGTTCTGCATTCTGATTCACTATGGCAAGAACAGGTCATTCCACCAACATGACTTCCGGAAGACACAGGGCGCATCAACCACAGTCTCAGAAGCTCACAGACAAGGAGATTTTGGAGTTGAAGAACTACCTTCCTGAGTGGACTGCCGCCAAAAGGAGTGAGAAGAGGGGGATTTTCACTGCCATAGCAAGGGCGGCCAGGTTGTTTGCTCCTAAGGTGGACCAAAAACAATGGAAAAAGAGGAAGCAGGTGATGCTCCTTTGTTGCGTTGAAAAACTAAATTTTCAACATCACATTTTTTCATCAAATCTTAGGTGTACAAGACTTGGTTGTTCAACAACAAGAAAAAGAAGGAAAGGAAGGACACCATCAAGTATGGGAGGAAATGGATGCCCAGGATGGTGGTCTACCAGCAGAAACGCGAAGAGGTGCTGAAGAGGATTGAGGACGAGTCGGGGGTAAAGCCCGGAGATCCTGGTATGTTCAAACATTATCAGGCGGCGGTGAAGAGAGTCATGGCTGAATTGGACGACGACGAGTTGGAGAAGGCGAAAGAAACAGCGGAAGAGTGGTCCAACAACTGTCTGCCTCCGGAGATACAAGCACAAGTCGCCCGTAAGAAGGGTCCGGCATATATGGAGCACTTTTTGAACGAGATGTGGAGGCAATGTGGGATGAGAGTTTTTGTGATGTCGGCTTGGAAGAATGAAAAGGGAGAGGTGCTGTTCGGGATGTGAGTACATTTACCCATTGACACGGATCTTTCATCTCAAAATATTCATGCAGGCATGATGATAACGAGGCCTTAGGAGATGGGGACAGCTTCATGAAGACAAAGGACTGGGAGGACATTGAGCCAGTGTGGCAGGAGTACGCGCAGGAACAGTTCGGTGAGTGTTTGAACCATGTATACCAGATTGAACATGTTGAGCATCAAGATGATAGGTGCCGGGGCACGGGATGGAGGACATCAGGTCAAGGGAGGTCGAAAAAGAATTCGAAAACCAGCTTTCGAACTCGAAATGGATGGGGAGGGTATGCCACTCCTTCCCGACATCACCGACACGAAACTTGAGGAGAAGAAGGCCATAGTGAGGGCCTTTCTTACATCGCACTATCGTGAGTTTCTCGTCGCATCATCTGACAAATTGTTCAATGCATGGACACAGGGATATGTTCCGGGAAGGACAAGGCGGTTGTACCATGGAGTGCCATTGTACAAAGTCAGGATGACTTCGTGGCCCGGACGTATCTTCCGGCAGATGTTGACTTGAAGGAGCCTTCAAAGCTGCAAAATTGGGACACGACTGCCTTGCTCCATTTCTGGCATGCTCGGCAGGAAACAGGAGAAGGTCCCACATTTCTGTTCAAAGCATGGAAGAACAAAGATGGGGACATGGTACCATCTGTCATATCTGGCAAGTCGCCCTCTCCTCAGACTAGTATAGTGAGAAAGCAGCAGAGGGTTACCATTCAGAGGGCCTCGGGATTCGTCGACAGAAGCCGAGAGTGATAAGGAGAGTGCCACTAATCATACGGAGGATGATGTGGATGATGACCTGGCTGACGGGAGACATCCGCTGAAGAAACCCAGGATGGGAGGTCCTACACCAAAAGGGACGGCAGTCCCACGTGCAATTCCAAAGCCTCGCCGGGCCAAGCCGGCCAAAAAAGGTGCATTACTGACATCAAGAATGGGCGACCTCCTTGCTGGGTTAACTGAAGACGCGACCAGAGAAGTTAGAGAGGATGTTGAAATGGAAGAGAGTATCACGCCGCTGGCACAGAAAAGGGGGCGGGGCAAGAAAGTCACAGTTGAACCATCCACGAGGACGACCCGGAGTAAGTTGCAAATGCCAGTAGACAGTACACCTAGAGTAACCAGAGCACGGGGACGCACTTAATGTAGATATATCTTCCTGCCGTCATGTGTAATGTCATATGTGCTATTGTGTATATGTCAAAGTACTAACGACCTAATCTTAAATCCCAAATCTCCAGTACCAAGGCCCGAGTACCGAACCCCGAGTTCCGAACCCCGAGTTCCGAACCCCGAACCCCGATCACCGGGCACCGAGCACCTAGTACTGAGTACCGAGTACCGAGCACAGAACACCGGGCAGCGAGGACTGAGTAGGTGGAGTATACAAGTACCAAGGACTAAGTACTGAGTAGGTAAAGTATACAAGTACCAAGTACTAAGTACTGAGCAGGCAAAGTATACTGCACCGAACCCCGAGTAACCGAACCCCGATCACCGGGCACCGAGCACCGAGTACCGAGTACAGAGTACCGAGCACAGAACACCGGGCAGCGAGGAAGGACTAAGTACTGAGTAGGTAAAGTATACTGCAATATGTCTACTATCAGACATTGATTGATATTTACATGTTACTTGAGTCCTCAAAGAACTCAATGAGGGTATCTAATACCTTCAGCATTTCGGAGGTTGACTCCCTTACCCGTTGCATCCTCCGGAGGTCAGCATCTGCTTTCCGCAGTTTGTCGCATGTTTCCGCCCATGCCATCCTGAATGGTCTGTCAGCCTCAAGAAGTTGTGCTACTGTAGGGGCAGGAAGATTTCCATGACTCTGTTCGTAATCACCCAGGCGATCTACAATTGTTTGAACTTGCAGAACATTAGCAGAGATAAATAATCAACTGTTGTATACATACTTTCAGCTTGATCATAAGATCCGATTGGCATGAACTCCTGAACCATGGCACGCAGTTCTTCATTGTTGAGTTCGGGCTCGGGCGAATTGACGTTCGGGAGTTTCTGAATTCGCTTGGGAGATAACATGAATAGAACACATGACATGATATGAATACACGTACAAGGTATGGGTGCCTCTGGTACAGCCGGAGTGGCCGGATGAGGTTCGGGAGTCGATTCATTCACTGGGGAAATGCCATGAAAATGAACATGAGATGAAAAGAATAACCTCACCAGCCATAGGAAAATCGGGTACAGCCGGAGCATCATCAGACGAAATAAAGGTATCCTCCGGACCAAGATATAAGTCCTGGGTCATCGTACAGGGCCAGTCCATCTGCCAGGGCCGGATATGATGGATCTGGAAGTATGTGATGGATTTGCACATGTAGAATATGTACATTTGAATTGAGAAACATACCGGGAATCGCATTTAACGAATCCAGACCACCGGATGACCCAGAATCAGAGTCTAACTCATCATCCGGCCCAAGGTATATATCATCTAATGGATCTAAACCATGTAAGATCAATTCACTGAAATCAGCAGAAACAAAACATACCAAGGGACATCCGGGACTGGGAGGTCTCATCCACATCCATTGAGGTGGTATTCAGTGACCGGAGGGTCATGAAATCTGACCCCAGGTTGAGAGCTCATGATATCTGATGAGCTGATGAACTGATGAACTGATTGATAACAGATAACGTCGAAGTTCAACACATGGCCGGCGATTGCCGAAAGTTGAACCATGACCAAACAAAGACAAACAATCAACGATTTTCAACATTGTCCTTCAATTGTATTGTTTCTTTGAAACTTCATTCTAGTGATAACAGATTTCACCCTGCTTTCAACATTCTCACATCTGTCAACTCAATCCAAATGTCTACTCCAGTTCAATCTTCATTGGCCGACCTCAAGGCATCCACGCTCAACTTGTGGGCATCATTGCCGGCGCCCGGCACGTCCCGGCCGGCTCAGTGCACGTCCACATTGCTCTGGCAAGGCAGTTCACCAATCTGTTGGTAAGTTGCACTTATTAAATTAGTTTACCATTCATGTTTCTAATATCCGGGTAGGCTGACATCATCCGGGTGCATGAGAAAGGGGATTACATCCCTGACATTGTGGCTTCCTGTTCTAAGGAGCTGATGAGGGTGCGTTCCATGACTCCCCAGGTGTTGCCCAACTGGCACAGCATTGGCCATGATGATCCCCGGGTGGCTAGACACGCCTGGCGCAAGCAGGTCCGTGCCTGGGAGGCGTTGGGTGACAATTCCTGTGATCTCCCTGTTGTTTCTAATCCTTCCACTGGCCCACTGACTGTCAATCTTCCGTCTCCACCTGTCCCTTCCCCCGCCACTGTCATTCACTCCCCTCCCGTCGTCGCCGGCAATGTCGCCGGACCTTCCGGCAAGACGACCTCCGAGTTCCGGACAAAGGGAAAGGTAAGGCCATTTCTGTTGACTTGGAGCCGGAAGTCGGAGGGAGCAACAAGAGGAAGTCCCCCATGATTTCTGGACACTCCTCCCAACCTCCGAAGTCGGCGATGAAGGGTCACAAGCGTGTCAAGTCAACTGGACTCCCCAAGTCAAAGCCGTTTGTGGAGTCGGAAGATGATGAAGACCCAATTGTTCAGGTATGTGTTTCTGGCTCATTTGTGACATGCTCTCAATTTGTTGTAGCCGATTTCACGTGGAGTGCCGGAGGTCGTCCTTTCCCAGCTCTCCACCATTGTTGTAAGGAAACCCCAGTCGCCTCGTTCACCTGGTTCCCCCAAGAAGCAATCATTTGGGCCTGCTTCGGTAAGTCTGATTTAGTCGTCCGGAACTCATATATATGCTCATGTGTCCACAGCTGACTGCCGGCAAACGTCCGGAGGTCATGGTGAGTTTTCCGGACAGGTCGGAACTCGCATGTATCATTCTTACTCATGCCCATCGCATTAGGAATCTCCCATCAGTCGTCCGGAGGCTCGGGTAAGTCTTACAAGCTCGCCCGGAACTCACATGTGTACTTACAATTTATCAGGCAACCTCCGGCAGTCGTCCGGAAGTTGAGGAGTCCACTGGTGATACTTCCAGCGCTTCGGACGGTGACCCTCCGGCCACTACCACATTTGATATCACCATTTCCCGGCCCAGTGAGTGCTCAATTAATTCCCCTAGTACATCTACTAACGATACCACAGAACAACCCTGCCATTATTGCGTCAAGGAGAATTGGCCCTGTGCGACTCGTTTGGACAAGAGGTCCAGCCTCCCCTGCCTGTCTTGCATCCGCTGCTCCACCAAGAAGATCAAATGCAACCCGGCATCTCTGGGATCCCCGCCCAAACGGACCCGAGGGAAGTCTACCACGGGACGGACGCGTTCCAAGACACCTGCCCCTGCTCCATCCACTGCTCCGTCTCCCTCCAGGTCAAGGGCCCGGACTCGTAGTCAATCTCGTGGCCCGTCCCGAACTCCGGCCATCCCTGCTGCAAGTACACCCCAGGTGCAGTCACGTGGTCGCAGCAAGACCATCACTACCAAGACAGACACCTGCACCTGCACCTGCACCTGCACCTGCACCTGCACCTGCGCCAGCTCGTAAGTCACCCACACTTTTGATGACCGGCTGACCTTATTTTTACTTAGCTGTTCGGTCTTCGAGTTCCGCAGTGCCTCGTGCAGCACTAGATGTTCCCATGCCGGATCTCCATTCCATGGCAATCGCGATTCGGGATGGTGCAGCTAGCATCGCTATTCTTGAGGCTCGGGTGCAGGAGCAGGATGCTAAGATTGATACCCTCCAACGCCTCCATGAGAGCCTCCGGCGCACGATGGTCGACCCGCACCCTTCATTTTCACTTCCGGACACACCGGCCGATGCAACAATCTTGCTTGATCAATCTGGTCCCCCCCCGTCCATTTCACCCCTCCCCTCCACACTTTCCAACCTCATTGATTTGGACATGT